TTTACATAAAAAGAAAACATAAGAAATGAATGGGACCCTCTGTAAACAAAAACAGACAAACACAACGCTGCGCGCGAAAGTTGGGGCAGCTGGATTTTATTTGATGAGTCGAGCGGAGGAATGCCCCCTGGACGATCTTGACTAGAAAGCGTTGGTGTGGTAGGCTCCTACGGAAACAGGACTGGTTCGTTCCAGCAGTACCTTTCCAGTGCCGATAGAATAGAAGAATAATCGAATCTAGATCCTAGTCCAACTTTTTAAGTACGCCCACTTGCATTAAAGCTGCCTATGTCTATCTAGGCGATGCTACTCTGCTGCTGCCGTACAAGCTCGCGTGGGCAATTTCTTAACGTGGGTATGCACTTTTGCCTGGATCCTGTTGGACGTTAGGAAGAAAGGCGCGTCTCCGCGTAGGTTTACGAAGCAGTGGAAGCGCGGATCGATGGTAATCCTAATCCAGGCATGATCTCCGGCTACCGGTCTGGTCACGGGGTTATTTTCCAGAAAGGTCAGATTCACATTTCGAGCAGGACAGGTTCAAATTAAATTGGCTCGTACACGCATAATTAAATTGGCTCGTACACGCATACGATTTGCACATGTATCTGTCATGGTATTAGGCATCTCCAACGTTGATCTGCAAATTTCCTCTGGCATCTGTCTGTGGACACAAATGCGAAAGCCAGCCATCAAACACTGCTCGCATACATTTCAACAACTATTTAAACCAACCGGATGAAATTCATGCAGACACGACGGATTTCATATAAATCGGACAAAATTTGTTACATTTTGGACATTCTTAAACTAATAAAAACTATACCGGACTAAGGTAAGTAGTCTACTACCATCACCGGCGGATATCCATTCCCACGACACGAATACCCTTGGCTAGTCGACGACTGGCCGCAGCGGATCCCCATTGTCTTCCTCATGTTCGGCAGCCCGCTCATTAGACTACCGTGAGCGCCGGATATGCTTCAGTGCGAAGGGCCGCTCGCTTCCTCATGTTTGGCAGCGCCGCTCAACGGAGGGAGCGCCGCCGAGATGTGCTTCAGCTGGAGGGGAAGAGGACGACGGTGGCCTGCGACCGGGCAAGGCAACGGTTGTGTACATCGGCGTCGCCTCTATGACGGTCTTCATGGGACCCAAGCAGCGGCAGCCTTCCATGTTCTACTTATACTCGATGATGGTTGCGGGTGTGGACATGCTGGACGCCGCGTCGTCGATCTCCACGAAGCCGGATGCTTTCTCCACCGGCAGGGTGCGGTTACGCGAACGTTGACGACGGATGTCGCGGTCGCAGGCACAGGAAGAGCATTACAGCACGGCGTCGTCCAAGACAGCCACGATGCCCATGTCACCATGCTCCACCGCGTTCCCGCCTGGAGCAACCCATCACTCCTCAGCGAGCTGGCTTGGAGCGGCGAGTTGTTGAACAATGCGCTGGCTTGGAGCTTTTGCATCCGTGAGCTGGCCTGCAGCGGCCTGCAGCGCCGAGGGACATGGAGCAGAGATTTACCTGGCTCGTATTCGGCGGGCTCTATGGGCCACCCAAACGGCTTTTATGCCGGAGAACTCCTTTTCCTGCTCGTCGGATGCCATGGAGATTTTGGAGAAAATTGTGCAAGTAGAAGATGGGGGCGGAGTGTGGTGGGATTTTTGTCCGGTGTCTGGCATCATTTAAATAGGAGGCAGACGGTCGGAGCAAACCAACATTGTGTTTAATGATGGATGACTCGCGAACAGATATGTGGTCGAAGTAGGTTTTTCGGCACAAGTACAGATTTAATGGAGGAAGGTGGGCAGTCTGTGGTCGTTTGAATGCGGCGAGGAGGTATGTTCAGTCGGGAGTGCGGCGGGCGACGCTCTCTTGGCCGACGGACTGCTCCAATGCTAACAGTGAGAGGTCCGGTCCGTTCTGTGTCGGCATCAATGCAGAGCGGCCACTCTCCAGCGACATGAATGCGGGGCTGGCGTCGGGCGGGAAGCACACACGGGCAAGGAAGGTTTTTTGGTGGGTCAGGGCAGTTAGAAGTGGGCGTGGTAGTGGCCCGGACGCACGCAAAGCCTCCTAATTTGTCTCTGGTTTGCTGGAGAAAAGTGCATCCGGACCGCCGAGCGGATCGATACAGGCCCGTGTTGGATGACACAACACGCCCGAACCGTCGAGCGAACCGATACAGGCCCGCGTTGAATGGCACAATATGTCTGGACCGCGCAATCCAGATGGTTGCGGGTGGTTTGAGGGCCCACAACGTTTGTATGATCTAACCACAAGGCACCTGCACTTCATTGCACGATCTAACCACAACGTTTGTACCTTTCAAACTTAGAGCCGTGGGGAGGAGGCCCGGCTAGGGTGGCGGTTGCGAAGGACGCGCACGAGCAGCAAGATCCAATCAAGAGGAGAAGAAGATAGATCGGACGAGTGCGGGAGAGCTCCCGCCGCCGACCACCACCGCGAAGGGCTTTGCCCTAGCGGCCGCGACTGATAGCGGCGAGGAGGGAAGCGAAGGAAGGGCTAGAAGCGGCGGCGGTGGTCCTGTCGCCCGGGACGCCCGCGGGACGACGCAGGCAGATGTTCGTGTTGGTGTCGCAAGCAACTTTGAATTTTTTTCATGCGAAACAGAGCAACGGTGTTTCACCGATGAAACAACAAATTTAGGGTAACATTTGGATGTGACAAAGAACATATAGAATTTTTGTTGAATTTTTTTTACATTTCAAAAAGTATTTTTGCGGCGAACTAATCTGTGATTGGATGGTTAGAGGGACAGTGGTATTCCCTGTCCACCAGGATTCAAATCCTAGTGCTCGTATTATTTCTGAATTTATTTCAGAATTTCCGACGATGTGCTTTCAGTGGGAGAAAAGATGATTTATCGACTCAGTCTTTTGAAGATGCTCATAGCGGCAGGGTGTGCGTGTGTGCATTCATAAAGGTGAATGTATGCACGTACGTATGAACGCTTGCGTCTGTATTGTGTAAAAAAATATTTTTGCATGCAGGAGTGCGCGCACCCGGGAGCACCAACAGATTTTCGTATACTGTTCACCCTAATCGTTTAGAGGGAAATGGAGGGTCCTTTTTTTGCGGCGTGGAGGGTCTAGTTGTCATAGATGCTCTAAATACCCCTGATCCCGTCCATGGCCCTGTTTGGATACTCTAACTAAGTTAGAGGCTAGAGTTAGATTCTAACTCTAAACTAACCTTGAACTAACTCTAACCAAAGTGGTGTTTGGATAGCAAGGTTAGATTGACAATAAATGCTCCTTCTCAATCATTTGGCTATTTTAGACCCTATTTTCTGTCGGATTTGATGTGGCCGGCTCTTGTGTGGCCTCCTCCCGCTCACAATTGACATAAACGAATCATGTTTACAAATCAAGCATGCAAAACTTGATAAAAAAAATTGTCCATACAAATGAGATGTCTCACTTAAACATACAAGTCGTCAATCGAAGCTTCAAAAAATATTACACTCCATAAAACAAAGCATGAGCTAACTCATCACGGAAGGCAATCATGTTGATATCTTCAACAAGAGGTTCGTCTTCTGGCCATGCGGATGCAGAAGAACTAGGCATTGGGTTATAATTTTCATCTGCATCACAAGCATCAAATTCCCTATCCGCAATTCTGCTCTCTCGAATGAAATTATGAAGAGCCATACAGGCAACAATAATTCTACTTTGCTTGTCCTCTGGAAATTTTGGCATGTTCAATAAAATCCTAAATTTCATCTTCAACACTCCAAAGGATCGCTCAACGACATTCCTAACTTTGCATGTGCATGGTTGAAGGTTTCTTTCATACCTTGTGGCGGCGGGCCATTTTGCCATTGTTGCACATGGTACCTTGTACATCTGTATGGTGAAAGGTAGCCTGGCCGGTTTGGGTATCCCGCATCAACCACATAATACTTCCCTACATATTATGAAAGGCATAGAATGAGACTTAGATGAACTAGTGTAGTTAGATAAAAAATATTGCAAGACAGTTCAAGTCGCAAACCTGGTGGTAGATGTGGAAATTTGTCTTGATGAGTAGTTACGGCATCTTTGAAAACTCTCATGTCATGTGCTGAACCAGGCCATCCCGACATCACAAATGTAAATCTCATGTCGAAATCACAAACAGCAAGCACATTCTGACTGGTTTCATTGTGCCTGTTCAAGTATGGAACCCTCTTACTCTTATCCACCACAACATTCACATGTGTCCCATCTATAGCTCCTATGCAGTCATTGAAGTGTGGCCAGAATAATGGATTTTCTAAGTTTGGGTGCACCTCTGAAAATGTTGGATCCTTAGGTACAATTATGTCATGTGCTAACCTGAGGAGGCATGCCAAAACTCTATTAAATGTCCTACTTACTGTCTCCATAGACCTTCTGAAACGGTTCTCAGCCTGTCTAACTGACTGTGGTGATCCAACAATCCATAAAAACATAGCTAGAGCCTCTACAGATGTCATTTTTGTAGTGGACTTCAAGCCATATGATTGCACCAAAGTATTATGTAACCTATTAAACAAAGGTCTCTCAACCCTAAACATGTTATAGCATTGGGTATCTCGGGCTAGTGTCTCCTGCACCCAATCCAAACCAGAATATCCACTGACCCTCCTAGGTAGTTTCACAAAGTAGTTATCAGAGTACATACCCAAGATAGGAACCAACTTCAAGATTAAATTCTCGGACTGCACCAAATTGTTGCGGCACATGGATATGATCTCATCCTCACTTGTGCTACCTCCAGCATATTCTTCTTCCTCAGTCATGGGGACATGATCTTCTTCCTGCTTCAACACATGTACCAAATCGTCAACACATAGCATAAAACTTGAAGGAATGTAAGCAAATGAAATTAATTCGGCCCGCAGATAAAACAAAATAGGTTCAACACAAATAATAGTTCAACGCCTCACAAACACATGACAGGTTCAATATACAACAATTTAAATAGGTTCAACATCTTAACACACACTTCCCAACTACTCCAAATTGTTGTCTCTGCACCATTTCTTGAAGTAACCCAACCTAAGCTCAGGAGTTAATTGGCCACAAAAGAACTCCCTTTGGTACTCCGTTTCGAACATCTTGGACATAGCATAGACAGAGTCAACTGTTTGCTGAACACCGCACTCAAATGCCAGCTCCTGACACCTCTTCACAGAAAATGCAGCCTTCTCATTTGCACGTTTCTGCATTTGCTTAGTGTTGGCTGCGACAGACTCCTTGCAGGTATTGGCTATGTCCTTGACAATTTTCACCATTGGGCTCTTGCTCTTCTTCAATGGACTAGTCAAAGTGCTTGAAGTGCTTAATGACCTCTTGCCCCTCTGGCTCCTCTGGTTGCTTGTACTTGTAGGTGTTCCTTGAAACTCCTCTTCTGCCCTTGCATCTTGCCCTTGAGTCTGACCATAATCATCTCCAGGCACAAAGGTTGTGCTTCCATCCACGGTGCAACCTCTGAACAGTTGATCAAGCAACTCCTCGTTTGCTGGAGGACCCCACTGCAACTTCCTTAGGTATGGTTTCTTCTGCAAGATAGTGAAAATGTAAAACTAGTTAGGATATGAGAGCACACTTCAGAATCTATCTACTATATTATTAAAATGAGTCATCCTATATGTGCAGCCAAGAAAAAGTGAAAAAGGAGTGCAAAATAATCTGATTCACTGATTGTATAGTGGGTTCAAATTAGAACAAACAAGATTTAAAAATAGTATAGTGCGTAGAAGAATAAAGCATTTATATTATGTAAAAATAATTCAGAATTGTAGTTGAACTTCACTTTTTGAGTAAATTTTGTTGCCGCCGACCAAAATAAGCACAACCCAGCCTAGCATATGAAACATAAGTACAGTATGTAGTTGAGTCACATCTAGCTAGCCTTAGTTAAAAGTGCACCTCTGCTAACCAAAATAAGCACAACCCAGCCTAGCATATGAAACATATGTACAGTATGTAGTTGAGTCACATCTAGCTAGCCTTAGTGAAAAGTGTACCTCTGTGTGTGTTATCCAGAACTCAGAGTCGGCATCAATGGTTCCATCTGGTTTCCTCCCCAACCCTGTGTGCACTTGCATGTATCGCCAAAAGGAGTGGGTGTTTTTGAGTACGACTATCTGGTTCTTCACCTGCACACGGGAATACACCAACCCCCTTCTAGCAAGTAAGCCTCCATAACAGCTTGGTACCATTCAGCAGTCATTGTTACACCATTATACGTTCCTGCTGCACGTTGCTCAATGCACAATTCTAACAAGCAAGCACTATTAGCATCATTCCATTGGGCTCGATTGTTTTGGCTCACCGAGGGACCTCCGGAGCTCGCAAACTCTTTCACGTCATCCTCCAATTCTTCATCACCATTGTCAAAGGGAGCGCCAGAGCCGGATGCTTGCGCACAGACAGCACTCCTCGGTGCCCGGCGGCTGGGTGCCGCGGCGGCCGAGTTGGCGCGCTGCCGAACGTCGCTGCCACTGAACGCCGTGCCGGTGCGCTGGTTACGGCGGCTGGGTGCCGCGGCGGCCGAGTTGCCACGCTGCCGAACACCGTCGCCTGCCCCCGACGACGACCCGCCAAGGAACACGCCACCGTTTCCTCCTCCGCGACCAGCTGCCACCGCTAAGGAGCCGCCGAAGTTCAGTCGCCGGGCGTAGGGTGGGCGATAGGGAGGGAGCCCGGAGCCCCTGACGCGCCCAGGGAGGAGCTCGTCATCATCGCTCTGCAGGAAGGCTCCGTAGAGCCCAAGCCCCGGGAACCCCTCCGACACCGGTGCTTGCGAGTTGAGGTCGAGACCGGCATGGGTAGCAGGGCCGCTTGCCGATGGCTGCGAACCCCAAACGTCGAAGTCGTCTCCATCCATCGCGGGTGCTCTACTCCAAGCTATACTACCTGCACCAGAAGAGAAGAATCAGTAGCACCTTCAGGAAAGCACAATGGAAACACGCAGAAAGAAGAGAGTAAGGAGACCGGAGTAATATTCGGGAACACATGAAAAGATGGATAAAATATATAGGTTAAGATAACCAACTTCTACGACAAACAACTATACATAGGATTGTGATACACAGGACATTTATACAAGCATGCGGTTCCACTTTTACACAAGCATTTTATAACAACGATTGTGATACACAGGACAGGAGTAAATATACACATTTTAGGCAAAGCAATGTAAGTAAATATAAATAGCAAAGAACAACCTCAGCCCCCACCTTTTCACATGCCTGTATTGCAGCCATTTAGCAATGATAGTAGAAAACGAAACACATCAGAAGGAATTGAGGTACAAAGTATCCTATAAAATCCAAGCCATAGTAGCCCGGAACGCGGGTCGACGCCGCGTCCCGTGTACCGTTCCCATGATGACCGGACGTTGCAGGTATACAAGGAATGAAAAAACACAGCGTGGCCGTAACTGTAGGCGAGATAATTTAGGAACAGAAGGCCAGAAAGGACGTAAATAACAGCAGTCCTCTAATACCGGATGGACTTCCTTAATTTGCTCTTGCCTTGAACGATATTGCACTCTTTCCTTAATCTGTTTTTGTTTCCATGTACAATAATAGTCTTCCTTCTTCAGGAAATTCATGAATTAGACTGGCCATCTAGCAACCAAAACACATGACCGAAACTACAGAAATTCATGGAATAAATTGTCCATCTAGCAACCAGAGAAGGAACCCTTGAACTCACCCCTAGATGCGCTGCGAGCGGCGGTCGGAGAAGGGCGAGCGGCGGCCGGTGAGGAGGGAGCAGCGGGAGCGGCGACCGAGGGAGGGCGAGCGGCTGACGGAGGAGGGCGAGCGGCGGCCGGTGAGGAGGGAGCGGCGCGAGCGGCGACCGGAGGAGGGCGAGCGGCTGACGGAGGAGGGCGAGCGGGGCCGCAGGAGGGCGCTCCCGGGGTTCCGGCGGCGCGGCGCTGCGCTTGGGCGAGCGGCGCAATGGGGAGGAGTCGTGCGAGGTGGGTGGAGAGGAGGGATCTGGTGCGGGAGGGGTGAGTTTTTTTACTATTTTTTTAGTGGGCCCAGAAAAACTAACCCAAATAAGCTCCTCTAGTGTGGGCTAGTTTTTGGGGTGGGTTAGATTCAACTAACCCAAACTAACCCATCATGTTTGGATCCTTTTGGGTTATTTGAGCCCAATCTAACTATATCTAACTCTAACTTAGGGATCCAAACAGGGCCCATCCCAGTTCGAAATTTCCTCATTTGCTATCTTGGCCGGAGAATCCAGTATCCCAGTTTCGAAATCGGTTTGGCTCCAAATTGGTACCACTCTGTGGGGATCAAAGCGGACGCACCTGGCAGTTGACGCAGTAGCCACCTGTCTGAATTGTTTTGGCTCCAACCAATGTGCTGGTAGTTGCATGGTGTACTTGGAGTATTCAAAATAGTGTCGACCTTCCGTGCAAATAAGTGGGATCCAATTTCAAAATTTCTTTAGGGTTGTAAACGGAATTTTAACTCAATAATGGTTGTCCCTCAACAACTAAAAGGTAGTTAGTCTTGCGCACATAGGGTTTAGGATTGTAAACCGACATTTATCCGGTTTAGGTTTTCTATCAGTTGCAAAATGGTGGCCTCCATTTGCAGTTTGGTTCTCCGGTCTTCTCTTCGTCTCATTGGTACTGCTTTTCTTTTTTAGTTTGGGATCTTAGATTTGTCCACCTTCGGACGCCAACAGTATGGTTTATTCTCCAGGGCGTTGGTTCAGCAGGACTATGGGTTAGAGAATTAGATTATATGACATTTCGCCCGATCAACAATAAAGTTGGCTCTGGTGATGGAAGAGAATTTGTGACAGGCAGGTGCGGGGCACCGATCCCATTTTTCTCTTGGATTTTGTTTTTGAATATTTATATATTTTGAACCAAAAGTCTAAATTAAGTTTCGTTTGCATATTCTTTTCCTTGTGACGAAACTTGATAAGACAGACAGAAAAATCACTAAATTTCGAAACCTAAAAATTTAAAACTTGGTGTGCCCCGGTGCATCCCATGACTTCATAGATCACTAACCAATCGTGAGGCGGGGCATGGCTGGTCAGGTGCATGCCCCTGCAATTTTTTGCTCTTGCAATGGAAAGGAAACAGTGGCGCGGACTATCGACATGTTTGTTGTTCGTGAGAAATTAAAGAGACAATCTCACCTAGAGAGCTCGATGCATCTTCTTTATTTTGTAGGGTTTTTTTTTTTGCAATGTTTGTACATATGGTTGATTTCATCAAGAGATCTATTGCCTTTTTCAAAAGAAAACTTGTACTATTTATCATGGTATCTTTATTTTTCATAAACTCAAGTTTAATCTGAAACTATAAGGATTAGGCGTGTTTTGTTGTGCCACTGGTGTTGTTGGATTTTCATATTTTTTTTACTCCATCTGTTTCAAAATATAATGTGTATTGCACACGTACCCCTTCAACGTTGTGCTCTAGCGGACTCAAGGCGATTAAGGTTACTCGCCTCCTGCCGGCGTCACCTCAAATCTACCCCATCTCATGTGGCCTTATGCCATGGAGACGCGGTGGATCTTGGCCCTTGCCGGCGACAGGCCCTAGCTTCACTTTTAGGTGTCCTTTTGTGTCTGTTTAGGGTTTGTGTCCTGCTCAGGAAGGCGAGGCGGCGGCAACTCCCTGAGTATGGATTAATATTCTTCGCGCCTAACCCTCGTCGATGTTGCGTGTAGCCTCGTCGAAGGTTGTGTAGAGGTGTGTCTTCGACAGATCTCGTGGGATTTGGTCAGTGTTTGGATGCGGTCTTCGTTCGACTGCGTGTGTGTGTCTACAAGTTGGATCCTTTCCATCTATCATTCTCTTCATCGCATGCGGGTGTTGTTCTGGTGCATTGTCGTATGGGGTTTTACTATGACAACTTCCCGTTTGTATACTAGAAAAAGGTCTGCCCAGCTCCGATAATGGAGGGGCAATGACGGTGGCGCACCTTTAGCTCGCTCCAGTGACTGTAGTCATCGATAGGTGATCTATGAACCTGGATGTAATTCTTACTTCGAGTGTTCTTCGTACTATCTTTACATACAGTTGATGAATAGATTGAAAGTTTTATTGCAAAATAAAACAAAACATATAAGGTGTGTTAGTGTTTTGGAAAGTCAAACCTATTTAAGTTTGAACAAATTTGTAGAATATCCATAATATCAAATTGGCGTCCTTAGATTCATCAAGAAATGAATTTTCATGTTTTATTTATTTAGTATTGTGGATGTCGATAGTTTTGACTCTGAACTTGATCAAAGTTAAAGAAATTTGACTTTTTTAAAAATGTTGGACTGTGTTTTTCTTTTTATTTATAACACGGTGTTTTGGCGGGTCTTTCGCGGTGTGATTCTGTGTTATCTGCTGATCAACCCATACTTATGTGAAAAATATGATGGGCTGGTGTTTGCATGTACTATTTTTTGTGCTAAAATATCACATGTTGACACTTCTTTTTTCTAGGTGGTAACAGGGTGCACGGTGTTGATATGTTTTATAGGCCAGTTGATGCCACTTGATTTGAAAAAATGTTTTCCCAGTAAAGATCATGAACCTAATCCAAAATTGAATACCTCAATCGAATGGACAAGCTCCAAAATTTATAAGCATTGTGAATTAGAAGAGTCAAATGAGAGAGCCCCTTGATAAATTATTGACCCGGTCAAAATCTGACGGCCCAATTCTAAATTGGAGATCTCAGTTGATTGCGACTAGTTCTAAAAAAAAAGAAGTTAATTGCGACTTTACGAGGACTTAAAATCATAATCCCTTCGTTGGTGCACCAACCAAGGAGGAGGAATCCTCCTCCAACTAGTTTCGCCCCCTAGCTTGTTAGGGTTGCCACATCTTTATTGGTCCCAACATGCCCATTAACCTTTCCCTATGAGGACTTTAGCAATTTCCATCAGCCCATACCCACTAAATAAATTCTAGGGGGATCCTGGTAATTACTGGCGCCCTCTCATATTTATATTAGCTTTCCGTAAACTATTTCCGCCTATGCAGTACTACCTGGTATTCTCCGGAACCCTTCCCATAACTCCGAAACACTTCCAGTTTCTCTCGAAACTATTTTTTTATTTTCAAAACTTTTCTGACAGTAATTTCTCATATTCCTAACTCCTATAGAATTCAACAGATCATAGTCCCTTAAGCATATGTGTCGGGGTTGAGAACGACACCTATGGGATCACAAGAATCCCTACTACGGTTGCCGGGGCGCAGGGTTGCGAGGAGAGCAGGGCTAGTAGACAGCACAAGGATCGTTTACCCAGGTTCGGGCCGCAAGGATGCGTAAAACCCTAGTACTGCTTTGGTGGGTGTATTTCCGAGAGTTCTTGAGCTCTCGAACTAGCTGTAGTCAGCGTGTGGTTCCAAAGAGCCGAATCCCTCCCCTGGTCGCCTTGGGCCTCCTTTTATAGGAAAAAGGGTTGCCACAGTGGCACACAGGAGGTGGAAAGGTCTACAGTGGAACGAGGTTATCCCTCGTATTACAGGACAAGGTGCATTTAATGCATCACTTAGGTGTCCTCTTGCTTTATCGGAGATGGAGGTGAGGCCCGTCCCGTTCGTCGCCGCTCCTCCTCGCTTCGACACGCGCCTCGACCAGGGATGCATGCGGTGCCATGTAGGCAGGCATGCAGTTGTGTTGGCGCGGTGGTGGAGCCTCCATGAAGATCTGCATGCTGCCACTCATGCGCTTGATGAGTTGACCTGGGAGCTGCATGTTGCCACGCAGGTGCCCGCCCAGCTGGTTGGACTGGCAGCTACATGTGAACGACGGTGGAAACTTGGTTGACATGGGCTTGGCGGTGGCCTTACCGATGTCTTTGGCGAGGGCCTTGCCGGGTGGCCCGGCAAGGGCCTCT